GGACCCCCTCCCAACTCACTGTACATATATTTTGCACTAAGGTGATCCCCATTGTAAATAAATCCCCTTTTGTGTTTCCTTGAAAAGAACTGTCTGCGCGTGAGTCCGTTCAGTAGCCATGACAATTCCTGAGTGTAACCAGCTGTTTGCATCTTGTTGTAAGCTGTGACAAAGTGGATGAGCAGTTGTAATGCTCTCCATTTGTCCCAGATGTGTTGACCTTTTTTTTGCACATTATGCACATTATTCTGTCTGTGTATTTATTTGCTATGATTTGCTATTTGTCAAAGTAACATTGCTGCACTAACTATCCCGGGTTTGTTTGTGTAAGCATTCTGTTGCCGGCAAATCAAGCATTCTGCAAATTAAGGCAAATAGTCAGATACATGTTTCTTTACATTTTATTATGTTACAGATTAAGTTGTTTGTTCATACTTACTTTGTTCTTTCGTTTCAGTCTTCATGTAAGTCAGGTTTGGGGAAAGACCCGCCTAGCATTTCCTCGTTTTAAAGTGCTGATGATGTCACACATCACAGGTTTTGTTAAGTTTCATGTAGGATGGGGTTCACTGTAAATAAATTGCTCACCTCTGGAAACCTGAAATGTCTGCTGAGTCTGCTTCCCTACCACCTTCCCTAACGTTTGAGTTAAGGAAGGTGACTACCCACATGAACTCTGCATTTACATTCATGAAGGCATCTATTGAATGTCTTTGACAGTGGTACCTCTTTAAATGTTGCACTTTAGTTTAGTTTTTCTGCATTCCTTTTTTCTTTTTTTAAAGAATCGACCACTACTACTATAACTACTTATAGATCTACTACTTGATTTGGGTACTCCTGCTTTTCAGCTTTTCCTATCTCTCTCTGATTGATTCATTTTGCTTTGACATCTTAATGATGGCCTCCTTCACTTGCATCAGCGTCTTTCATCATTTGAAGAGTTCCAGTGAATAGCTACCTAATGCAGTTTCTGGCGAGTACTCAAAGTGATTATTATGTAATATTATCAGTAATTTTTGTAATGCATCCCAGAATTAGTTTTTGTATTGAATGCTAGTATGGCTGATAATAGATCCTTTACCACCTGTTTGAAGCTGTGGCCCCAGATGCCCCTCAACCACTCATGTAAAGAAAAAACAGAATAAGAAAGGAAGGAAAACAGACTTTCTGGGTAGTGAATGACTTTTTTTTTTTTTGTATTAGTGGAAAAAATTTGTTTTCTGAATGAGAAGAGGGTTAGGATGTGGTTTGAGCTTTTAGTGTGTATTTGTGGTTTTCTTGCTTCTGAGGCAAAAAGAAAGCAATAAGAGAGTGTCACCTCTTAGTAAGGGGAAGTCCAAAAGTCAGAAAACTTAACATAAATAAAGAGAACATATGCTTCACACCTCTTTCAAAATGAAGAGAATGAGTTAGAACATAAAGATCCATTAAAATAAAAGTAATGGTCTATTAGCATGACTTACTAAGACACTGCTGGGCTAATTAAATCCAAATCCAAAACAAAAAGGCCACCAGAAACACCGGAGCTCACAAAATAGTTCAAAGCAAAAAGTCCAAAGGCACTGAAGCCCAGGAAACAGTTCACAAAACAGCTTAGGGGGGCCATCTGGAGGGTGACTGTACAGGGGTCCAAAACAGTGCAGTTCACGGGGCTGGCCGCGTGGAAGATGTCAGCAGTGACTGAGTAGGTCTGGAGGCCGTCCGTCATGGCAAAGACCCTTAACTGATGGCCTAGAAAGTGGCCGGCAATGGTGTGGTGGTGGACCTGGATGAGCAGGACGTGCTGGATGTGGACAAAAACGAGCAGGACCAACAGGCCGCGCCTGACCCCTAAGACCCTCCAGCGGAGACAGATGGCTGGACGGGCCCCTCGGACCCCCCAGTAGAGACAGATAGCTGCACAGATTCCTTTGAGTCCCCAGCAGAGCTGGAGTATCTAATGTGACGTGATATTTATTATGTGAATGAGAATCTAAACCAACTTCAGTACTATGCTGTTTAAACTTAATATGTTTGTATTGAGCACTATGAAAAGAAAAGTTTGTTTGAAATGTGTTCTTGCAAAGATAAAATGCTTAAAGTCAATTAATGCATAATGTGAAGACATTAGGTGAGGATGTGAGTGTTTGTGGGGCAGCTTGCTCTTGGCTGCAAAACCACAAAAAGTACAAATCCACACAAACACACAGTTTAAATGTCAGTGTGGTCCACATGCAAAGGGAGCTACTGCTAATACTTATAAATAGTGCAGTGTGTGTGTGTGCGTGTGTGTGTGTGTGTCGTGTGTGTGTGTTCTAGTGTGTGTGTGTGAGTGTGTTTGTGTGTGTGTGTGTGTGTGCGTGTGTGTGGTCAAAAATACAACAGGGTGGGGGAACTGACAGGCTGTACTATAGTCAAGGAAGATGAAAAACTGAAGCAACAACCCAGAACAGCCAGTTTCCACCTGATGCTGCATGCTTGAAGTTATCAGCTCAGAGTTATACAGACAGGTGCACTGCAGGTACTGTTATATACAACCGTTTATAAGTTGAAGAATCAGATTAGATGAAACTAAAGGGTTACAAGGCCTCAAGTGAAACACTCAGAAGCTCAAATGTTCGTCAGAAGAGCTCTGTGGGTTGTGATCAAAAGACTTTTCACCCTTTTTTGTCTTGTCAGTTTAGTTGGTTACATTTGATACGTAAACAAAGTAACACCCTCATGTGATGCTCTTTGACAGGATATCAGGTGAAATTAAGTCAGCAGTTGGAAGCAGATCAGTTGCAGCTCAGCCAGCAGGTAAGTGTCACTGACTGAAGTCTTTTAATGTACAGCTATTATTATTTTTATAAGACAATTGTATTATTACAATTACAATATTAAAAATGTTTTACTAAATGTTGTTCAGTTTAAGATTCAGTGACAATTTGTTAGGCTGTGGTAGAGACGCATGTCTGAAAGAAAAGACCACAAATGCAACACCAATGGAAACATTAATTTTTGAAGCGCTTCATGTAAATTATGATTTCAATTCAATTTCATTTTATGTAGATGTCTCCAAACCACAATAACAGTTGCTGAACAGCACTTTGTATTATATAGTAAAGTGACTTGTCCAGGGTGCACCTTACCCCTCGACCCGTGCCAGCTGAGATAGACTCTAGCTTTCATCGCTGCGATGCTAGATCGGATAAGTAGAAGAAAATGGATGAAAGTAAATTAAAACACAGTAAGTTTAGGTGCTCCTTAGTATACACAGTAGGAGTCTGGATTACATCATCACTGCTTTTAGTTTTACAAACTGAGGCAGGATCTGAAACCAGAGGTGGGACCAAGTCATTGTTTTGCAAGTCTCAAGTAAGTCTCAAGTCTTTATCCTCAAGTCTCAAGTAATGTCAGGCAAGTCAGAGTCGAGTCTCAAGTCACTGGTGTAAAAGTCCAAGTAAAGTCACAAGTCTGAAATTTTGAATTTCAAGTCCTTTCGAGTCTTTAAAAAAAAAACGAAAAAAGAATGTTGCAGTTATGCTAAATGTAAATATTAGACCATGTAATTTAAATCTGTGTTTTTCTCAACACATGACAAAATAGTGAACTTAGAAAATATACACAAATTGTGAAATTGCACCTCTATAAAATGCAGCTCAATTAAACCTAGCTCCAAGAATAATTTTCACCGACAGTTCTGAGATAAGCTGCATGTTATTCTTGGATGCGGTTGTAGGACCGGCTTTAAAATCGCATGACAAAAATATCATACACATTAAAAAAAACTGCATCACCAACGTAGCCTGGACAACATTTGCTAGTTAGATGAAGTCAGCTATCTCATCTTAGCATATTTATATGCATATTTATAATTACACGGTTCTTGGAGTGAGTGCATACACTCATGAAGTTTAGTAACTTCAGGTCACTGCAACAAGCCCAGGTACAGTTTACCGACGGATGGGTACAGGACCTTGAAATGCACCGTGTAGAACGAAAGACCATCGTACGTATCATAAGTTTACCAGTCTCACAAATCGTCTTCATAAATACACATTCGTTAACCGTTTATTAATAGGACCTTTGAGCTCAACGGTAATTAATTAGTAGTGGAAATAATTTCTGGTAGCATCACAGAAATGTAGCAGTGACAATAATACTGTATGCTGTAATCGTACTGGGCAATTAGTGATACAAAAACTGTTTTATCCTGTGAATAAAAGTATATGTTTTTGTCAATGTACCATAATAACAGAAGCGAAACGCAATATTGTGTCAGGACAATTCACTATTTATGCACAATAAATAAAGGAGCATAGCGCGACAATTTCTGTTCAGCGCCAGACTTGCTTGTAACCTATATCACCAATTATGTTATGAAAATGACGCATTAACTACAACAGCAGACTGACCTTTGTGGAAATGCTTGGAGCAGACTAACCTGTGAGCTGGAGGGTTCTGGGACGTTATATTTGGTCTTTGAATGGCTGCAATCCAGGCCATCCGTCGCCTCTTTGTTACTTCGGAAACATGGCTCGAACAATTTCTCTTCAACGACGTAATCCGATAACAACCGATCTCTTTACCCGTCGGCTTCCCGTGGCTGTCATGCGACCGGCTATTGCAGTTAATAATACAACAGCTTCTTGACATTTTTGTGTTTCTTTTTATCGCTGTGTAACTGATTTCAATTGAAAGCCTGCGTGCGCTAGTACCTCTTGCCACGAGTTCCCAGAATCCTTTGCGGTTTTACCCCTGAATGACGTCACATTTTCAATCTCTATATAATATGCATGTTAAATTTTATATTTGGGGTAAAATATCAAGTCTTTTCAAGTAAACCGGTTCAAGTCCAATTCAAGTCCCAGGTCATTGGTGTAAAAGTCCAAGTCAAGTCACAAGTCTTAGAACATTTTTTCAAGTCAAGTCTAAAGTCATAAAATTAATGACTCGAGTCTGACTCGAGTCCAAGTCATGTGACTCGAGTCCACACCTCGCTGTTTCAAACTATTCACAGAACAATCAGCTGTTCTGCATCAAATCTGATGCCACACAAATTATTTGTGCCGCTATAATGTGTTTATCTGTAGCCAGCTGTTTTTCTTCTATGTGGGTTGATGTTGACTGTTTGGAGAAATAAAACTGTGTCGTCTCTAATCATGTTGCTAACATGGTAACATTTTATTTCATGTGGTTACCTTTGCAGGATGAGAAGAATCAAAGCAGTCAGTCAATACCTAAAGCAACTAGTCCTTCAAGTCTTCCAGTCACAGTCACGAGTCACCATCCCAGCAGCCTCTAAGAAAGAAAACTGTCGACTTAATGGAGAGAAATAAGAAAAGCCTTTCCCTGTTTATTCTGCTGCCTGTGCTGCTGCTCTGCACAAGTGATGAGTGTCCCAGGCTTCCAGAGAGTTAGTCTTTATTCCTCTTTATTCATGTTTAACTGATTTTAAGATCTGTTGTTTGACATATTTACTCATTTTCATTTAATCTCTCCTGTTTTAATTCTCACAGATCTCACTTGCTACACTGACTACAATAGAAACATCACATGTTTGTGGAACAGCAATACGTGTCTGATGACACTGCATGCACCATACATGCTCACTATAAATCTCGCTACATGTAAGGACCTCAATCACAAAGAGAAAAGCTCAACACATAAAACTCACATAACAGAAATCATAGATGTCATCAGTAACGCCATCTGCAGGAAAATCTAATTAATATTCCTCTTCTCAGTTCTTACAGCGCTTCCTGTGACCTAAAGTCTGTTGACGTCTCCAGACCAGCGCTAAAGAAGTGCTCCCTGATCTTTGAAAAGAAAAGCACTGTGAGTGTGTAAAGAAATCAAATTATTTCTGAGCCCCCGAGATAAAATCATATATCCTATATCTCAGTTTGTATTTTAATTAGAAGTGAGATCTAATATTCTACGGAAAGCCTCGGGGCAGTCACTGACTCCTTCCAAATAGTTTTTTATCCGGTCAATGTCAGAGATTATGTTTTCTGAAAATCCTGTGCATATGATGAGAGGGAAATCAGCTTGCATGTTTAAATTCGTACTATAAGCGCAGCTGCTAAGAGGTTGGTTTACTTTTCCCTGTTGTGTATTTGAAACTAAGGTGAAGTTTTTATGGCTTCTGTACAGACATGGAGCGGTCTCAGTAATGTCATTCTCAGCAAGAAAGCTCAAAAAATGTATAACACTCCTTTCAAATGTAACCAGTAATCTCATTAACTATTTTTACTAGATCTTCTGCTTGATGCACTCAGGTCATCCTCTGTCTAAAAGAAGCTTCATCTCTTCTCTTTATGCTGCTCTTTGTTTTTACCAACTCTATTATCTGATTGGATATTTGTGACTCCAATTGTTTTACTTTAAATCAAATTTGAAGTTTGCCAAACAAAAGACTTCTATATTGTTCTCACTCAATGTTTTCTAACAGTAAATATTTTTCAAACATTTTTTTCCAGTTTCTGTCTTTCCATGAGTTGTCCCTTAATCTGAGCTGCAACCAAATGAAGCAGAGTTTAATCACTTCCTTCATGCCATCCTGTCACAGTGAGTGTAATCTACAGTATAAATACTGGCTCTTTGTGATTTACAGTGCGAGCTATTCATGGTGACCTAAAACAACTGTGTGTGTGATCTTGCAGTAAAGGTGAATCCTCCTGCAGAGCCAAAAGTCAACTTCACGTCTGTTTCCTGGTTGTCCCAAGTCCCCGAACATGAAAGGATCAGTTCATACAGAAGTGAAGTCGAGTGGAAGAAGCAGGATCAGTCATGGAGTGTAAGTTTAGATTTTATGACACAATGTGAACAAGTTTAAGTATAAAGTTGAGATCATGAAAGTTCACATGTGAAACAAGATTCGTTCTCAACCCCGCACTGGTTTCTGTGTGTCAGGATCCTGCTGTGCACAAAAAAGTTGGCATTCAGTGTGAGCAGGAGTGCAAGGCAGAGCTGGAGCCAGATTTGCTGATACAAGGCGAGAGGTACGAGGCACGAGTTCGTGTGCGGTCTATTTTTCGGCACCGCGAGGGAGCCTGGAGTGACTGGAGCCCCACTGCATCATGGGAGTCACCAGTAGGGAAAATAAAACCACCATCAGGTACATTTATCTCAAAATGTTTTGTTTAACATAACATACCAATGTCAAAATCTTTCCAATTCATTTATGCTGGGTGGCTGTAGCTCAGGTGGCAGAGCAGGTCAGCCACTAATCAGAAGGTCGGTGGTTCGATCCCAGGCTGCCTCCTGGCTGCATGCCAAATATCCTTGGGCAAGATACTAACCCCATGTTTGCCTACTGGTGGTGGTCAGAGGGCCCGGTGGCGCCAGTGTCCGGCAGCCTCGCCTCTGTCAGTGCGCCCCAGGGCAGCTGTGGCTACAATGTAGCTTGCCATCGCCAGTGTGTGAATGTGAGTGTGAATGACTGAATGTAGTGTGAAGTGCTTTGGGGTCCTTAGGGACTAGAAAAGCGCCATACAAATGCAGGCCATTTACCATATGCTGAGCATGATTACTGCAGTATGGAATAATTATGTATATGGGAAAATGTTTGAAGTGTGTTGGTGTATAATACACAGCATAGAGGGGAAGAAGCCATTGTGAAAAATGTCCAATGCTGTATGTGGCAGGAGTTTGGTCCCTGGCTCAGCTGCAGGGTAGACGTGGTGCAGTGAGCTCAGGGGGCAGTACTGGGATGCAGGTGAGCCACAGATGGTGGCGATTGACTGATGACGGTGTCTCTTTTTGTTTCTCAAGTGCCGGTGTCCTGCAGGTTTTAGACACAGCTGATTCAAATGGCTAAATTACCTCCTCAACATGTCTTGAACTTCTCCAGAGGCCTGGGAATGAACTAATCATTTGATTCAGATGTGTTGACA